CAACAGTTGTCAAGACTTCATGCACACGTTTCTTTGTCCAGAATGGAACACAAACTCATGTGTAAATTACAAAATGATGTGTGTGGATTTCCCAGTTCAGAGCCTAAGAGTTACTGTCCTCACATGGAAGAAACAAGAGTTCAGAAATTTGAACTGTCAGTTTCATCAGATGTTAACCAAATTCTAATTCAGCTTTGAGAGGCCTCTTGCCAGAGCACGTCCTTCCTGGAGGAAAGACAATGAGATATTCCCAGGTGTGACTCCACAACTTGTCCTGTTTTGCCTCTTTTCATGACAATCCTATCCTCTGTTAATTGCTCTCTTCTCATTAATCAAATCTTCCTTATAATTAAGTGCAGTTACTTATAATAACAATATTGTTGTGCACCATGCATGTGACGAGCAATATAATGAAACGTTAGGTTACTGTTTTGGTTGGAACTAGGACTTTGTAAAACCATCAGGTCTGTTTCACCAAAGGCCATGAAGATGGCCAGTCTTCCTGCACAGGAGAAGCTGAGGTGCAGAGGCCCTGAGCGCCCCCCCAAAGCTGCATACCTCTGCTGTGGGCCTACACAGGCTCTGCTCTCTTGAATCACCTGCTGCCTTTGCTACAATCTGCTGCTATTCCTGAGGCCATGCACTCCCTAGGAAGACTGGAGACTCCTGACACTTGGCTGGTCACCCTGGTGAAGTACATTCACTGATGCTCATTTTAAGCCAGTGCCCCTGAGCCCTGTTGTCATTTAATGTGCTAATAGAGCTCTTCTGATTTTCCCCCAGTAACCAAAAATAAGCTTTTGATGGAGGAATTAAGTTTGAAAGATACCATTTTCTTCCCAGTTGGTCTTTAGAGTTGAACAGTGTGCCCACCCACAAGTGCCACCTGTCCCCTGGGAAATCATGCAGAAGCTTGTGTGCACCCTGGCAAACCTGAGGGCCTTTGTGGTGGCAGCAAGCAGAGTCAGACACTTGGAGGTCCTGTTATGGTGCATTCTCACAGTCAGACCATAAGCTTCAAAGCCTGGTGCTGCTCATAAAGGGGCAGAGAAAGGCAGCCAAGGTCAGAAGCAGCGGGCTCACGGGGATCTTGACGGCAGCTCCACTGAAGGCCTGTGCACAGTCATTCACCCTTGTTGTCAAGTGTCGTGCAAGGCAGCTATTCTGATTTCTTCTATAAATAGCCTTGGAGAAAAGCATTAAATTCCCAAGGTGGTACAAGATAATTCATAACTCAATGCCTTAGAAAAGGCCATGCCAGTTTTTCTCTTTAGCTTTATAATATCCAAAAATGTGTATATTTTTAATACATGAGTATAAAATTATTAGAAAGTAATCAACCCAGCCATTAAGAATCCATCCATCTAATAAGATCTGAGACTCCTGCTTCTCTGTTCACAAAGATATATATACATACTTGTGTACACATGCAACTTTTTACACTCAAGTGCACACTACAAATTACTAACAGGAAGTTGTCAGTGCCTGGCCCTTCTCTGTTAGGACATCAATACTTAGGGCTTTGTTTTCTTATAACTCTATACCATAGAATGATTAAGAGTTCTCATTCCTAAGTCACACAATTGTGTTTGGATTCAAATTTGCTCATCAACCTTACTTTATCTTCAGCCTTAGTTTTCTCACTTGTGAAATAAGGCTACAACTAATTGATGTCACAGAGTAAGAGAAATCATTGAGACACTGTAACACAGCAGTTAGCACAGTGCCTGGCACATAATAAGCTTTTAGTAAGTGCAACCAATTATTGTCACTATTGGCGTTATTATGGTACTATCACTGGACTTATCTCTTAACAGTGTTTAATGATTCCATTAGCCAATCCTCATTTCTTCAATAGCAAAAAAGCAGACAATTTTCTAATTTAGTTTGAATGAATTGCCTTATTACAGTGTTTTATCCAAAACTAAGTAATCTGTTCACAGATAATAAAATCTCTTCATCCCTAGAATTCTTCAAGTTACTAAATCCTCAAAAAGATATAATGAATTATTGCCAGCAGATGTTTTACGATGAAGTTCATGAAGAGGTTGAAACGGTCATATTAAACTGACCTAAAACAATTATTAACATTTCCATGGGGAAAAGGATGTGAGTGCCTCTAATGTCAAGAGTTTTCACCAGTCTAAAATAATTCCTTACATTTATTTTCTTTTTAAACAAAGACTCATTCTCTATATATCATCAGTTTAATGTGATTGCTATGATAGTTCATAAATTGCAGCATTCTCTCACTGCTTTAGGGCTTCTATATGGTTGCTCCAGTAAACCTCTGAAGTGATGATACAAAAAGAAAATCTAGCTACGGAGAGAATGACAGGGAATGAGCCATCTCTGGATAACAATCATTGAGCAAGTCCTTCCTGCATTCAGAAAGACCCAAGAGCTTGCAAACGTGTGTTTGTCATAAGCATAAAAAATAACTGAGCACATTCAGAGGGTTTCCATCTTTCCCACTGAAAGACTATATTTCCAGAGAGGCTTTGCAAAAATTTGCTAAGAATATAATCCTGAACAAAGATGTGGCCACGTGGCTCAGGCCATCCTTCTGTATAAAATCAGAGTGAATGCATAACTGTGTCTGATTCCATACGTGTTAGAAAAGCATCCTCCCCCCAACTCAGCCTCAGGCACAATGGGACTCATTCTGCAGGAGCTCATTATGTACATAATAAATGCTAGGTGCTGTTTGATGGGAAATGTGCTAAAATCAATAAGACACTAGATACATAGCCCTACATTCTGGGTGCTGAAGAGTCTACTGCCAGAATATTTTGTAAATAAATGTCATGACTTTCAGTAAGAAACGTACTATACTAGGAGATAACATAAAGCACCAAAACTGCCAGCTCACTAAAGTTTCAATTTCCCTTTAAAGAGATAAAACTTTACATTATATTATTAGAGATAAGGTTTAAATCAGAAATGTCCCAAGAGAAATAACACAGTGAATCAAATCCAGACTTAAGCAGTGTTTTTACATTTGTGCTTCATTAATCTTATATGCCTTGAGGGTTCTTCCTTCTTTCAATCAGAGTAGCTCAGGCCTCCTCTATTTTACATATCTGAGTTCTTCCTAAGTTTTAATTTGCAGGAAAGAATTCCTTTTCTTGTTCCTATACCCAACAAGTGAAAAACAAACTAAAGTTTGAATATAAAATCTCTAATGAGATATTGTTTCAAAAAGAATCTGCTTTTTAAGCAGGTTCAGATGGAGGGAAGGCTCAGAACAGGAAGGAGTTGGTGAGGAGCTGTACAAAGCAGCTGGAGATGGGAAGAGCTGGAACCACGGTGCACAGTTCTAAGGTAAAGAGTTCTGTAAGGTGGAGAGTGAATAGAAACGCTCAACAAAAACTTGAAATAAATGTTTATGTTCAATTCATTTTTACAGGTAAGTAAAAAAAAATGAATTGTTTCTAATTTCTTCTCAAAAAAAAGAGTTAAAGAATGAAATGAAACTCACATTTAGATGGGCATATGGTTATCAACAAATTTTTTCTACAATGCATTCTGTATTAAGACCTACCTCTTCAGTTCCACATTAAAGGCATTTTGTTGGATAATCTCTTTCATACACTTTTCCTCCCTTCTCCTTTTCTCTGTTCCTGATTATCTTTAGCGAACTATCTACTTTCTAGGCTACAAAAATGATTAATAAGTTTCCTATATACCACACAGAAATTTTACAGTACACCCCACTGTCAGAACCACTCTGTGTTATTTCTCTGGGGTTAGGCTACTAAGAAAGTGCAGGGGAATTCCAAGCCCCTAGCATTGTAACTTCAAATATAATTTAAGTAATTATGGACATGATCTAAAGGCAAAATAAAACTAGAGAACATTCCTCCTCTAGTTCCTGGATCTTCCTCCCCTTCAACCTTCTCCATCTTAAAAATGTACTGTATTTTGCAATTGAAAAGAAACTGTATTACACAAATGACATGTACTGTCTTATACAAATGAAATGTATTTTTTGTATAATACAGTTCCCTGGGCAGATGTCAGGTGGCTAATACCATGTTGGGGGCCACAAAAGCCAATGAGACATAGCAGAGGAATGATGACCTCAGCTCTACGTGCAGCACTATATTTCTCAGCCAAATTTAGGATTGCTCGTATTGTTACCAAATCTAGATCATCTCTAAAAGAAAAAAATGTGTAGTTAATAACAATGAAATCTGCTAAGAGAATAGATCTGAAGTATTATTACCATACACACATGCACACAAACACACAAAGGTAACTATATGAGGCAACTGACATATTAATTAGCTAGACAGGTAATATATGTATCTAAACATCAAGTTGTACACCTTAAATATATACAACTTTTATTTGTTAATGGTAGCTCAAAGACATATAATGTGATCCACATATGTAATTTAAAGTTTTCTAGCAGACATTAAAAATAAGTGCAAAGTGAAATTAATTGTAATAATGTATGATAAAATATAGCCAAACAATATCATTTCAACAATAATTAACATTAAAAATTAATGAGATCTTTCACATTCCTGTTTTTTGTTCTGCATTCAAAATTCTGTACATTTTTTACACTTATAAAATCTCAACTTCGACGCTACATTTTTACCAGAAATATTTGATCTGTCTTTTGATTTTGTAAAATATTCATTTGAAAAAATAAATTCACATATCCAAGTTGTTCCAAGCATGTTTAAAACTTTTCCAATAACTTAATTATCCTTTTAAAAATTGAAACTAAAATTAAATATTCAGTTCCTTTATTTCACTAACCGCATTTCAAGCACTGAGTAGCCACATATAACTACTGGATACCATATTATACATCATTCTAAATTAAAACTTGAGACAGACCTGTCAGAAGTGGATTATACTTAAAGGGGATGGGATGTATCCTAAGTGTAGTCCTCAGAGGGATATTAATTAACAGAAAAGATTCTAAAAGAGCTGAAGTGTCACACACTGTGTATCAAGTAATCAGGCAAGAAACGGATACTCACATTTTGCTTTTTCAGGCAGAGCCTCTGCTGTACCCATGATGGGCAGTTAGGATGATCTTTCTTGGAAGGGTGAGCTCCAAGTCCTTAAATACAGTAACATGAAGTAATTCAGTGCTGATTAATATTTAGCTATTTCTTTCATCACTCATAAGTAGATGAGCAATTAATGATTCTACACATTATTCTTTTACTCTAAAACCTCCAGTGCTTTGTTGGGTAGGGCTCTACAGTTTATGGAGTGCTTGTACACACATTACCTTACTAGCTCCAAACAGCCCACACTATGATTTGGAAAGGTTTAAGTGTGTCCCTCGATGATTCATGTGTTGGAGGCTTGGTCCCCTGGAGGGTGATGGTGGGATGGAATATTTAAGAATTGGGCCTAGCGTTAGGTCTCTAGGTCACCTGAGACATGTCATCCGAGTGAATGTGGCATTCCAGACTCTTGGACTTCCTTCCTCTGAGAAGCCATTTCTTGGTTTCACATGAACTCCTGCTGTAACGTGACACAGCCGATGGAGCCCTCAGCAGAGCTGGGCAGAAGCAGCACCACACCCCTGCACCTCCAAACTGTGTGCCAAATAAATCTCTTCTCTTTTTATGATTAGTCTACCCTGTGTGTTTTGTCCTAGCAATGAAACATAAAGCAGTCTGACAGGAACGACTGTCCCACATATGGCAGATGTGGAAATGAACTCCGAGAAGTAAAGTAAATTATCAACATAAATAGCTATCAGTGCCAAGGACAGAACACACAACCAGACATTGGAGCCTAAGACCCAAGCAAGCTCATCTGATTGCTCACTACTTTCCTGGTAATGTCGAATTAATAGCTGCACACACCTTACACACTCCTGTCTTCAAGCTTCAATTTATGTTAGTATTCTACACAAATGCCCTGTTCTCTCATGTACATTTATTGATATCATATCTGTTCTTAAACCTAGGTCTGAATCCCACTTCCCTCATGCATCTAACTAGGACTCAACATCAGCTACACTGATGCATAGTACTGTGCAACGACACATCTTTATAATTAAAAATGGGAATAATAAATCCTTTAAGGAGCCCGAAGTACCTCTTGTCCTAAAACTGTCAGTATAACTAACTGTTCAGTTGGCTGACTCAACCAATAAGCTATGAGTGAAATACTCAAGACCTGTTAAATATTTGGAGGATTATTTCACTAATCATGTAAGCCAGCTTTGCCCTGTGAAAGTCATGACTCCAGAGCCACAGGTTTTCAGATAAAGAGCTATAACATTCCTTCAGCATCACTCAGAGGAAAGAAAACTACTGCAGTTACAGTTTTAAAATAAAACTGAAACATCCAAAAAGATGAATGTTCAAATTGTCAGAATTATACCATGGGCAACAGCACCGAACATGTACCTTGTCTGCCTAGTTCTGCAAATAAACCTGGATAAATGAAAATGCTGCACCTCCCTCAGCAATTAACAATCAGAACTCATATTCTGGTTTGCTTTAATTACTGTCTTTCTACATTTAAATATAAGAGGAAAATTAAACTGTTTTGTGCTCTGTCATTTTCTTGTTTGAATCTCCATAGAAATGGAATCTTCTCTGGGGCTGCTGGTTCCTCCAACTTAATTCGGTGTGCCAGAAGTGTCATCCTACATTAAATGGCTGGCAAGCAAAACATCCCACTGTCCTTTCAATGCAGGAAACTGGCCAAGCATCATACAAGGTGCTGTCATGGTACTGCCTCCCAAGACTGAGGTGATGGGTGAAAACCCTGAGAAGGGAGAAGGGCGTGAGGAAAGGCCTTATATCGGAATTACTTAGAGACGGGCACAGTGGCAAAATCAGAAAACAGTGTGCTCTCCACTTTAAGTCCCCCACAGACAGCTACAAGACTGTGAGTTCCTCAGGAAGCACTGATCACTTAATAAATATGTATCTAGTGCCCAAGTCGCACAAGCGGCTGGCCACCTATTTTGGAAGAAAGGGCAAAACATATAGTTATTTTAAGTAAAGATACAAACAACTACACACCAGATGTCATAAGAGAGTCTCACACCTTATGAATTAAGTGTTATAAACATGAGGGCCATGAATTCAAATGGAGATGACAATACCAAGGGCTGAGAAGGTGACAGGAGGAGTTCAGGGGGACTGGGCTATTTCTGAAAGAATAAATACAGGGGTCGTAGTGAGAACGAGACAAGCATTAACCAACCCACCCTGGATTCAAGCCAGCATACACTATAGCATGGAATACTAGTTCTGAGCGGGTCAGATTTGTTCATCTATGAGGAAGAGAAGGCAGGCACATGAAAGCACAGCAAATTAATGGAGTTGCGAATGCAAGAGGCTGGGGAGCAAGAAGTAGTGTGATTAATTCGAGCAAAGAGTTTATTTTCTGCTGCTGAAATGGACAATGAAAGATTCAGTATTTTGAACAAGTACTGATATAACTAGTGTTCTAGAACACAACTTCTATAAAGGCAAGAAATTTATTTTTCTCCCTGCTCTACTCCTAGTACCTGGAAAAAAACCTATCATGAAGAAGCATCCCAAAAATATTTGTAGAATGAGCTATTACGGCAACAGCATGCTGGACAGGGATCCCCTGCCTGCTCTCATGTGGCCCCTTTAGCGCATTCGTAAGTCCCTGTCTTCTCCAGCAGGTGTAACTCAAGGCTCTCCTAAACTGGGCAACAGGAATGCTAATGCTTTCTAATTCCATTTTTACATGAATAAAGACAAACAAAAGTAGAAGCTATTTCCTACCTTATCCCCTCAGCTTGATCTTCTTAACGTAGATGACTAAAAATGCTTATCATTCCATAATATCTACTTGTGGTTTATATCTAGATGTCCCCCACGAGCCTTATGCATCCATAGGTGGGACTTTTGGAAGGAGGTTAGATTATGGGGCTTATAACGGGCTTGCTGTTAGGAGGTGGGGTCTGGTCAGACGAGTGGTGACCTGGAAGGCTTCTCCTTCCCACCTTTCATTCCTTTTCTCTTGCTTCCTGGCTGCTATGCTGAGCAGCTCTTCTCTGCCATGCCTCTCTCCCATGCTTTTCTGCTATGGAGCCAGCAGACTGCGGGCTAAAAACATGAGCCAAAATAGACCTCTCCTCCCTTATTTTGTGGTACTTAGATATTTTGGCCCAGCAATGAGGGAACTAAGCCAGTAGTCTAGTTTGGATCTCAAATGTCCCCCAAAATCACGTGTTGAAAGTTTGGTCTCAAGCCTGATGGTATTCAGAGATGGTAGAACCTATAATAGGAGGGGCCTAGTGGAAAGAAGTTAGGTCATTGGGGCTGTGCCCTCAAAGAGGATATTGAGACCCTGGCCCCTTCTTCTCTTTTTGTTTTCTGGCCACCTGCTTTGGTCAGTAGCATTCCTCTAAAACACGCTCCCATCATGATGTACTGTGTCATCAAAGACCCAAAGTGATGGAGCAACGATGAACTGAAACTTCTGAAACCATGAGCCAAAATAAACCTTTCCTCCTAATAAGTGATTTATCAGAGTGACAGAAAGCTGATTAACACAATATTCTTTATAATTAAGTACCTGGAGGCAAAAATTACACTGTTACGTGGCAGGAAGCAGGGAAATGGGCTATTTCCAGGGATCTTGAAGACAGTTTCAAGTTAATATAAGGGCACATGAGACCAAGTCTTTATTTTTCTACTCTCCCTCTAGCCAAACCCTCCTACCTTCAATTCCACTTATAATTCTCCCCATGTAGCTATCTCAGAAACTGTTCCTATCTCTACCCACTACAGGAGGCTGTATTTCTGTCTACCATATTCACTCCACAGTCTTCAAAACAGAGCTGCATCTTCCCACCTTACCTTCCTCCCAGATATAATCACACCATTCCTGGATCACTGGAATAGCCTTCTGGATACTCTCTCGATTTCCACTCTGATGCTGCTCCAATTCATTCTTCCTGCAGCAAAAGCATCTTCTTGCAAATCAGTTCACATAATTTCCCTTCCATGGCTTCTGACTCCATTTGAAGCAAAGCACAGCCTGGGCCCTGGGCTCTCTTCTCTCATGAATCTGAGTGAATATGGATGAGAAGCACAGGGCTGGCATTCCACAGCTCCATCCAGAACTGAGTCAAGGGCCTTCCTTCACTTCTCTTGGCCTCTGTTTCCTTGGGCACATAATAGAATTGTGGGACAAGAGGACCCCCCCAAAGGTCCCATCAGTTTCTACAGCCCTAACACTACATTGCTTTAGTATACTATGTTTTTAAAAATCCTAGAAATCAACAGTTCGGTCAGGGATTCCTTCCTCTCTTCTGTCCTTCTCCCCTTTCTTATGTTGAGGCAGCTCTGGAGCAGGAAATGAAGAAAAGCACTCCAGGCAAGGGCTCCCCCTCAAGTCTCTGCTTCAGCCCTGGTCACTCCCTCTCAACTCTGACTTCCAGGCCCTGTCCGTGTTACTGTTTCCATTCTGTGTTAAGGATGAGTTCCCACCCTCTATTTTTTCTTCTTCAAGTCAACACGGACCCTTATGTTAGTCATTTTCCACATTTGCTTCCAGAAAACTTCCCTCTGACAAGTCTTCTGATCCCCCTGACCAAACTACCAGATCTTATGTCACCAAACAGTAAGAGTAAGAAACAAGAAAGGAGAGCAGGTCAAGAAACCAAAACAGAACAAGTCCCAGCTAGGAGCAAAATGAAAGGGGCAATAACAGATATCTAAAATGGGCAAATGCATGATAAGTAAAAGAAGAATAGAAGATTGATAACTGCATACTCAAATTTATGAACCAAATTAGAGCCATAAGGTGAGACAGAAAAGAAATCCTTTATGAGCAAGAATGTCAGGTAAGATGGGAGCTCAGAAGCCACATGCCACAGTAGCAAGCAAGAGGAAGAACACTCCTTTCTTGATGCAGACATGCCTTCTAAATCTCTAACCTACTCATGGTAACATATTACCCAGCATCAGGAACTGGGAGGGAAAAGAACATAACTGAGTCATTAGGATATTTCTCTTCCCTACCACAAACCATCAGTATAGGTGCACTGTGGTGGCAGAAATCTTGGATTTCAGTCCCAATCCTGTCATTGCCAAAGTGTATGAG